GGGGGCGAGGGGCAAGGGCGGTGGTTAGGGCGGGGTTGGGGGCCAAGGCGATGGCAGAGGTAAGAGGGGGAAGAGGGCCAGAGCGGGGGCGAGGTTGGTGACGAGGGCAAAGGTGGGGGCGAGGTTGGTGACGATGCCGGGGGAGAGGGGTGACGAGGGCGGAGGCGGAGGCGAGGGCGAGGATGACGGCGGCCGCCACGGCAAGGGTGAAGGTAAGGGCGACATAGAGAGAAACAACAATGGAGAGAGCGATCGCTTTTATTAATTCTGAGTACTTCAAGACAAAAAAATTTATTTGTTCAATATCGTATAAAGTAAAATGTTGCAAAATTTCAATGAATACACATGTTACTCACCCTAATATGTTTTGTTCTTCTTAATCCCTAAAGATGTGCAATTTAGTTAATAAAATATAAAAATATGTTTATAATTTTTGTACACCATTTAATTATTAGTGATTATTTTGTCAACAGACGAGTACACGAAAAGTTGTAATTGGTGGTAGAACCAATTCCGGAAAACTAAATACAATTTTAATTCTCGTTCAGCATATTCATAAGCCAACAACACCCCGCAGATAAACAGAGAGCGCAAGTGAAATTAGATCTCGGCCGTCCAGTCACGAACATTGGCAGATCTTTCGATAATCCCCTCGCTTTAGCACAGCCACGGCCCCGCGTATCACGCTGCGACGGGCAAACAAGCGCCAACTATTGAGCAGGGCCTTGCTGCCATAAAATCGACACCGACGCCCCACAAATCCGCCAAAATGCTTTCGTAAGCCTCGAAACAACGATTCGGCAGCGTAAACTATAGCAACGGCACCGCAGCGCCCCACACGGCACAGCACATTGGCCCGAAACTGGTGAACGCCGGCGCGCAGTGGAATTAATTAAATATATATTTAAATGAGTTAGTGAAAAAAACAAAATTTTTGGGTCGCAATGGGAAATCCCGTATTAAATTCGGCGTCTCCTTAAAACGTTTTGCTTATCAGCATTCTAACGATTTTTCTTCCAGCTTTTTTTTCCTTTCCTTACAACTCGATTTTCACCTCTTCGTATTACATTACTTTACTCTCTGCTTTGAAACTTGAGATAGCGTGAATATAGGAAAACATATTTATTCTAATGAGAGATTTTAAATCAAATACATTGGAGTACGTTTTTCATATTTTTAATCACTTTTCAATTAATTGTGTGACATTATTTTGTAATTACCATTACTTTCTATAAATTTGAATTCCTGTAACTTGAGAATAGATATCAACGTCTGTAACGGAGATCCTAAAGAGGTTTTATGTTTCCAGAGCACCAGTGATTACATCATATCATACTCCACACTCCGACGATGCGTGTTTGATACCGGCAAGATGCCAGTCATTTTTTTACGATGTAAATAGTGATGGATTTGTAGTGACTACTGAAATACAATTTATTTCCCGGCTACTCTAGTCAGTGGTAACCGTTGTATGCCTATTCCCTTGGGCCGAATGCTACTTGTATATAGGCATACAGCAGTACGGCACACGATCCAGGTCCGATCCTTCCCTCTACATTCGGTCCTATGCTGCCGAGCGATCGACCGAGTATCCATTTGGCATTTTACATTTAGCGATACCCTCGCCGACAGGTATCTACTCGCATGCAAACAAGTGAGAATTCTTTCCACTTAATTTCTTCCCACTGTGCTCTTCGGACAGCACCTGGTTGAGCTATTGTCACCTGCTGATCTTGAATGAATGGCGTGGGAGATGAGCAAATGGAGGTGCAGATGAACAGATTCCATGCATTTTGATGATAATCTCTGATTTCCAGTTTCCCAATCAATCCTCAAATCATTTCATATTCCTTTATTGAAACGCGATAAGTGTATTTCTGATCCACTAATAGTTTCATGCAAATAATATAATTCTCCATATTTTTACATTATCGAACCGCTACTGGGGTAGAAGAAAAGTTATGTAATGTTGCGCGAAAAAACGGCGAATATATGGAAGAAAAATCTTATTACGGGATCCTGGAAGCTAAAAAATGGATAAATCTATATGCTAAAGTTATAATGAAAATCCTCTAATACGGGATGTAGCCAGAATCCATGTTTTGTGGGTCGTTGATGCCGAAAAATTGATTGACGGCAAAACATCTGCCACTCCTGTCTGTCCGTCAGTGAAACGACGCCAGCACTAAGCCGATCAGCCGATTTTCTCCAAACTTGATATTCCTCGATCTCGGTCACAGCCTTGAATTAGAAATTGAAATTTGGGGGGGGGGCAGAGATACGTTACATGAAGCCCCTGGGACATTTTAAAAATGTTCGAAAAAATATACTCTTCGATATTTATTAAATTTTGTTGTTGGAAAGTCTGAAGGTCGTTTTATTTTTATATTTTGTCTTATTTTTTTGTTTCTTATATTCGCTCTTTTGTTATACATTTACACATTAATTTTTTAGAAATTATTTAAAACATTTGAAATATATGAAATACAAATTGCTAGCATTCAAGGAATATCAGATTGGAATGCAACAATATTCCACGTCGCGAATCAACAGCAACATTTCTGTGGCTTACGACTTATTGTTGAGACACGATGTAGCTGACTGAAAAGCATTGTAATTGTCAAATTTATGATAATATTTGTTTGAAAATATTTAGTTTTTCATGAAATGTTGTACGTTGTTGTTTTATAATGAGATTTACAAAAAAAGATAACTAAGATGTGTTAATTTCAAAATCGTGATATAAATATTACTAATGACGAGGTGATGCTGTTTTGCACCACTAGTTAATAGACTATCTAGATTGTTTAATTATATTCAATCATAGTTTTGTAGTAGTTGTGTACTAACGCACACATGCCGCATTTGTTTCCTTTTTTCTCTATTTTCATGATATTATACATCATTCTTTTACTGTAGGTATTCCTGAGGTACCTTTAATATTTGTTATATGTAAAAAATGGAAAAAATTTGTCTATTTTCTCATGTTAATTTCTGCTAAGGCTTTTTAATTTATAGAAGTTAATATTTTGATTGTTAATTCCAGAGCAACTATTTCATTATTTTAATTCCAAACACCAAAAAAAAAGTCAATTTAGTAAATTTAAAAAGTAAAGAAAGGTTCGTACGTTTTATTCATTCATCAGTCGAAAGATGTTACGTGATTTGCGTGCACAGTTTATTGTTTCAGAAGAGGTGGTAACGAGATGCGAAAGCGATAGTGTCGACCAGATAGTACAGCCCTCTCGACCGAAAAAGAAGTCTGCACTCGCACGTGGCCGGAGCATTCCGCTGATAAAACTCCCCCACTGCCTGCGGCTATTTGCGTGAACGTGCTCGTTTTTCAGAAGCTTAGCCAGCGGCTTTTTTTATTCGGGTTGGTGGCCATCATCTCGCTGACGTTGGATGTTAGATGGAGACCTTCCTCGACAAGAGTGCTTTTTGTGTGCTATGTGCTGCTGAGATGTGAGCCTAGGGTGTGCGCAGCGCCTGCGCGTTGCAGGGGTGGCGTGGCCAGTCATCTCGCTGACGTGGGATGTCGATGGAGAAAAAAAAAAAAAAAAAAAACCTTTTTTCCCCTTTTGGGGGGGAAAAACCAAAAAAAAAAAAAAAAAAAAGTTTTTTGGGGCTCTTGGTTGTTTTTTGGGGGGCTGATAGTGCGCTGAGAGTGCACTAGGTGTGTCGCAGCGCCTGTCGTTGCAGGGGTGCGTGGCCAATCAATCTTCGATGATACGTGCGGTGGACGTCGGCGTATGGCGCTGTTCGCCGTGATGGTGCTTGCCGCGCGCGCGAGGCTACTACTTCAACTCGACGGGGCATGCTGGAGTGCGACCGTTCTTCGCCGAAGCAAACAAAAGCCTGCGCATGCCTGGCGTCTGTGCCTCTTCTACTTCCCCACCACCCATGATCCTCACTTACTGCTACGCCTCCGCCTGTCCACGTGAAACAAGACTGCGCTTGCACCCGTTGCGTGGTCTGCGCCAGGTG